AGTAGCCACTTCAGCGCTGCATGATCCGTTCTAACTCGGAAATGTTGGTCATACAGATATTTGTGGAAGTGTTTGATGCAATCCACCAAGGCTAATAGTTCTCTTCGTGTCACGCAGTAGTTTCGCTCTGGTTTACCAATAGACCGGCTATAGTAAGCAACTACCTTCTCCTGCCCATAAATCTTTTGCGAGAGTACACCTCCTATGCCATACCCACTAGCATCTGTGTTCCGAATAAATGTTGCACTTGGAATCGGGTACGCTAGCATAGGCGCAGTGCACAACCGTTTTTTTAAAGCTTGGAAGCCCTCCTCTAGTTCAGTTTTCCACTCGAATGATCTATTCTTCCTTGTAAGCTCATGGAGACTATGAGCGACGCTGGCGAAGCTAGGAACAAATCGGTGATAATAAGTACACAGCCCAAGAAAGCTTCTCCATTCGTGCAAATTCCTGGGTCTCAGTCAATCCTTCACTGCTTCAATTTTTTCCTTTGCAGTACTAACGCCCTTCGTGGTTACTTGATGACCTAAGTAATTCACCTCCTTCTTGAATAAAGAGCACTTCTTAGGACTTAGTTTAAGACCAGCGCTTGCCAACACTAAAGGCGGTCTTCTCTTTATCTTCTTCACTCATTTCTACTTGCCAGTACCTGCTCTTAAGGTCGAGTGTTGAGAACCATTCTGTGCCAGTTAATGGGTCTAGTGTATCATCGATCCTGGGCAAGGGATAGCTGTCCTTCTTTGTGACATTGTTTAATCTTCGATAGTCCACGCAGAACCGCAACTGGCCATCTTTCTTCTTCACGAGTACTACCGGAGAGCTCCAAGGACTTGCAGATGGCTCGATAACGCCAGTTTCGCTCATTTCCTTTATTATTTGGCCAACAGTGTCACGTTTGGCTAGTGGAACGCTTCGAGGAGCTTAACGAATTGGTCTTGCGCCACCCGTATCGATACAATGTTTCACTACCTTGTTCCTGCCTGGTTTGTTGCCATCCTTGTCAAATATGTTGGAGTATTTTCGGATAGGTTGGCTTGCCTTTTGCTTGTACTTGTCTTCCAACCCTTGCGTCCAAACATTTATTTCTTCCTTCATGTCCTTCCTACTAAAGAAGTCGTTTTCCGATGAGTCATTGATGATGGCTTCCACTTCTTTACATTCCCCTAATATGGTCCCTCCAGGGATTTTTACTGGTGATCTGAAGTCATTTAATACTCTCACTGGGATGAGTCCATTCTCTTCCGTCTTAGCCAGGGCTTTAAGAATAAGTATGTCCGGTGTAGAATCTTGTGTTGCCTCGACAACCCACAATTTGCTTGTCCCACAATCTCACTTAATTTTTGACCACACAACTGCTTCTGACTTTGGTGGAACCAGATCGCTGCCTTCTAAGATCACTTGCTTGCTGCTGTGCGTGGAATTATAGCCAATGCATAGTGGTACCTCCATGTTCTTATATTCCATAATGTTGTTATTCAAGTCGATCTTGATATCTTGATCCATCAAGAAGTCCACTCCTATGATTACCTTATCTACAATCCGCGCGACGATGAAACTGTGTTGCACCGTCACTTTCTTCCCCCACCACTTGGCTATCCTCACCAGTCGCCGTTTTCAATATTGTTCCAGGTATTGCTCCACTGTTAGTATTCGCTCTCGTCCATCGACATATCCACCAATAGTAATGTTGTTCGGTTTTTTGCCAATTTGCGATACAGAGATTATGGGACATTCAATTGCAGGAGCCAGCTTACGCCCCTTTAGGTTAGCTCGTTTTGGTTTAACGATTGAGAAGTTGATGGTTCATCTTCCTTTGCCTTCCGTTTTCGCTGTACCCCCTGTCCATTGGAACTGGTTTTGCATTCACGTGTGTAGTGACCAGGCTTCCAACATTTAAGGTACTTTCTCGCTTGAGTTTTGAAACCAGAACGATTCATCCCTTCTAGCGATTTCAGGGTTGTCAATATTTCTGTCATCACATCTGGTGTTTGAACCTATACTTTATTTACTTTGTAGGATGGTATGCTTATGAGTGCCGCCGTTTCGCGTGTTTGTGCATACGCAACAGTTTCAACGAACAGGAGTCGCATGTGTCTCTCGCTTGGTGTACACGTCTTTTATCCCACTTCTGACACTAATTGTTACGATTTTGCTAAATCAACCTCGATGATTTTCTGAATCCTTCGGATACAATCTCTGTATTGTTAAATAAAACTAAATAAACTTAATTTCCAATTTCTTTGGTTACAAAGAATTTATCAAATGTCCTTTATTTACTCAGTAATTCACAATTCAATTACAATGCTTTTTACTAGCTATAATCACTTGTACAAAACTTTCACAATCTACTTAACTTAATTGTAATCTCCAACGCGTTTACTTTACAACTCAAATAGTTTATTTCGCTATACTCTATGTTGACGCAAACGAGTTCACTTTGTAACAAACTTGACTTGGCAGCTGAGTGACGCCCTTATATAGCAGTCGGCTGCTCGTTGACGAAAGTGTAGAATACTCGAGTGGTTCGCTATCGAAGGTTCTCGTTAAAAATGTACTAGTTCTCGGCTTCTCTCTTTCATCTGACATTCGCCTCGCATTTTCGCAACAGTATGTATGTAAATTGTTTGTTTTGATGCGCTGTCGAGCTCGTTCAACTCGAGAACCACTACCGAAGTTGTTGACAAGTCGCTCTTTTAAAGGTCTTTGAACTTTGCATTTACTGTAGAGTAAGTAGGTTAATAAGGCAATGATCTTAGAGCCGTAAGTAAGCAAATAGAAAACTGCAGTTAGATGTACGAATATAGTTTAGTTTGTACCGATGTGTACCTACTATGCATACATATTTACTGCGGCAAGAAGAACCGCCTTCCGCTCGAATTGGCGGATTAAATTTGGAATGAAATTGTTTTGGCGGGAGTCCGAATCCGTCTTCAAAAAAACTCATTGCAGTCTTCAATATTGAAAAGGGCCAACAAATATATATGCTATGTATCTTCGTAAAAAATTAAAATGTTTGCCTACTTACTCCTTATTGGCTTCTTTACTTTCCTTTTTTTTAGTATGTGTGTGCCTCTTTCTGTGTGTACTCGTATGTCTGCAAGGGTGCTGGTGCTGGTGTGGCTTCTTTTTTATATATGATAATTTCGCACTTTTGGAAATATTACCTACAAAAAAATTTTGTGTGTGTTTTGTTATATATTCGTGTGTATATATGTACTTCTGATTTTCCCCGTTTTTTTTTTCAAATTATATATTCGTATATTTGTTATATTTTGGAAAACTTTTCTTTTGTTTGGAGGTCTGTGCACTCTTCGGTATGGGTATGTATGTATGTATGTGTCTCACCACTTCCTTATTTTAAGATATTAAAAGGAGTTTTTTTTGTATATATTGCATGTGTGTTTAAAATTTCTTTTTTCGTTTGTTTCTCCAAAATTTTTTATTTATTATTTCATCAGGCTATGGGTGCACTTTTTATGTTTGTCACTTTAACTTTCTCTAAGTTTTTTTATTTATTACTTTGCATTAGTTAGTTTTCTGCACTGCACAGCACTTTTATTATAATTTTTTTTTTAATTAACGATCGGGGGAGCGACGGTGTGGACTGCAAGTCTTTTTTATATAGGGCCGGTCAAGTTTGGCCTAATAATAATAAATTGGATAATAATTATTTATTTAATTACATATACGTATTTACTCATTTGCTCATAAACTTTTCGGATATGCCTAATGATTAATAAACTGTTTTCATATGTAGATTTGGGTTTAATTTAATTTTAACTATTGCCCCTTGTGCGCTTATCGATGAGTTGGTAAGAAATCCCGCTTGTTTGTTCGGCAAGAACGGCTTTTATAGGCCAAAGGCACATTAGGTTACGTACAAAATATAAGGTTGACGTCCTTTGATGCGCACGCTTAATCATGCTGGGCCACCCTGCACGAAGTGCTGAATTCAGTCCGTTGCATGTGTGGGCCGTGTGTAGTATTGGTTTTCTCGGTGGTTCTTTGCATTATTTCTGCTGCTGTTCCATTCATTTTTTGGGCTTCGGCCGGCTCTCTTCCGATTGGAGGCCGTGATCCAATTTAGTTGTCCATTTCATTTTCAATCAGTAAGGTGCATATAATTTTTTGGCTGTTTTTTTTGTTGTTTTGATTTTCGTTTGTACATATGTGTGCATCAATTTTAATTATATGCTTTCGAATATTAGTTCTTCAATAGAAGACAATTAAGTTTTTTAATTTTTGTAATAAGTAAATTTTCGAAAGTACTCGCAAAGTTTTGTATTTTTTAGTGAATTGTATATATTAGTAATATTTCTTTTGTAGTTTTTGTTTCAGTTTGTAAATTTGAATTTATGTTAACTTAAATGCTTTTTTTTGTTGTATGTTAATGTTTTCGAAAGTCCACATTCACTTTTATTTTATTTTATGAGATGTTTATATGCACATTCATTTGATCTTGTGAATTTAATTTTTTTTATCGTTTGTTAGTTTTTTTTTTGCTAATGGTAGCTGTTTACCATAAGTTAGCTCAATTTCAGCCTCGAAGGACCATATTTACGCGAGGGTCTCTTCGGAGAGTCTTTTAAAATCAAACCACATTCGTAGTCTATTCAATGTTTACAGTGTTTTATTGGATAATAAATATTTATTTAATTACATATATGTATTTTTATTACAGTTAAATTTTTAAATCTTAGCATTTATAGCATGCTCAAAAACTTTTCACATACGTGTATGCCTAATGCTTAATAAACTGCTTAAATGTGTAGTTTAGGGTTTAATTTAATTTTAAATATTGCCCCGTGCGCGCTTGCCGATGAGTTGGTAAGAAATCTCGCATGTTTGTTCGGCAAGCATGTTCAGGTGGGCGTCCTGTGAAGCGCACCCTTTAACACCACAAAAACAAAACACGCTCTAAAAATGTTAGGCAATAGTTGCAAAATATGCAACGCGTGAACCCATATCTTCTTGCAATGAAGTGTGGCGAAGTAAAATACCAGCTGTCCTTTAATATTGTTTTAGAAATGTTTTACTGTTGATAACTTTTATACATTTTCTTTAATTTTTATCATTAAATAACTTTATTCAACATTTTAAGAAACAATGACCGAAGCAAGAGCGGCTCCGGAAAATAAGATGACGCATCAGCCTAAAAGGAAATGCAGCGAACGTGCTTCAAATAATGGATTATTTGCATGAGGAGGCGGATTTTGATGTTGGTTTGCAACTATGTCTAAATTCTCGGACTTATTTCTTTTTCTATTATTTCAGGCTCCAACTGCACCATTTCCCTATAAACGTTTTATAGAAAAAATGCAGTAGGACGCCTCCTGGGATCTTGTGCGTTGGAAGGTGCGACATTTGAAGGCACAGTTCCGGGAAACGAATGACTGCCTGACATCAACTGAACAATAGAAGGTGAGTAAAATTTCAGCTTGATTCCACAAGCCTTACTAATTAATTTGTAACAAATTTTTTATAATTCTGCAAAAATCGCGAAAATATGTACACACTTCGAGCGGTTCAAAGAAAATTTTGGAAAACGCGTTCCGGACGTCTAACCGCTCTTAGGGACAATGGACATGCTGCATTCGTCTTTGTCAGCACAATCGTTTATAGGCGTCTGCCTCACCCCCATGAAGTAAACGAATAAAGAAGCAGGGGCAATAACAACAATGAAGATGAAGAAAAAGTGGAAAACAAAATTGAAACAGTTGGTTTAAGTCCTGGAATATCTAAAGGTATCGCGGACACATCGGCCGATATGGCAAGACGAAGATTTAGCCCAGAACGATTGTAATGAAAATGATATTGGCCAATATGTTAGACGCGCATCGTTCTTATCGTACAAAAAAAACCGAACTACTTTTGGACGCGAAAAATTAAAACAGAAAATTCCAATTGGGTTTGGAAGCGTACTCGCCATGAGCAATTTATTCACGCCGCCAAAAAGGTGCCTTTCGTAAACATTGTGCATTATTTTCGCCAAATCCAAATTCATTTCACGGAGTATTGGGTTCGTTTTTCTCCACGAGCATAGCAAAAATCACATGCTAGATTGCTAGATGCTAGATTATTTTTGGATAATTGGAGTGTGGACGCTTTAATAAATAAATACTCCCAAAAAGTTATTCAGGAAAATAGAAAGATAATTTCTTTATTTCCTGTATTATATTTTCCAGCTCCGTCACTATGGAGTTGCGAGGCAAACACAACGTTGAAGGAATTGTTGAGGACTTATATTTACAATCTTTTAACCGACGCTGTAGTCATTGTTTTAGAAAGACATACGGAGAGTGAAAAAGAAAACGCTCAGTCGAAATTCAAAAGAAATTTGTATGGTGAATAAAAAAATAAGAGGTTGGATTCGTCAGTATGATCCTGGGTAACAATCGATACATTAGATAAAACAAGGTGTAAGGTCACAAAAAAAATCAAAGTGAAAAATTTGGCGTTCTCATTTTCTAGGATAGCGAGGGAATATTATTAATTAACTAATGGAATTCTCACACGCGATACACAGTCGAACCCAGCATTTATTATGATTGCACCGTTTAATTAATAATGTGAAATTTCGATACGGAGATTTAAAAGCTAATTCTCCACACACATAACAGTAACTTTCGGAACATATTAACGAAATAATTCTCATTAAATTTTACTGAGCCGATACTTTCGTATGAAGCGCGATGTCTGTTTTTGGGTATTAACCTTCTGAGTGATAGACACTCTTTCCTCTCTTCCATATTTTGTATCCGGTATTGTAATATCATGCATATGAGCCTTCAATCCACATCAATAATAAATTTATACAACATTAGCTATCAGGGCTGACTAATTGGAATACGCATCTTCATGAATACAAAAAATTAACATTTTTTTAAATAATAAAAACCTCAATACTTTAATGCTGATAAGAACGTGAAAAGAATTTAAAAAATCAAGCAAAATACATTAGTTAGACCATTATACCACAGGTATGAGTTTTGACACAAAAAGAAATACTAAAGAGGATAATTTTGAGTTGCCTAGTGTGTATTAGATGGAACTCGTTGTTGCGCTGAAAAATGATTGAATTGTCGGCCTAGAAACAAAACCTACTGTCTTAAAGTATGCGAGGAATATTCAGCGTTGGGTGCTCCTCTCTTACAAACTGCGGTTTTTATGTGAAGAAGATTCACACATTCGGAAGTAGCTTTTAGCAATGATAGGATTGCGTTCCGATGACATTTCGTCCCTAACTCAAAATCCTTTAATTTATTAAAAACTTTGAAAACAAGATATATAATACATAATTTTTCCAACTGAAATTTTCCGTTGAATCGAAAGCCCGAACTCCCCGAAATCGAAATGGATTCCGATGCTCGCATTCTTTATTTACACTAAACAATAATAATCGTTTCATATTTTTAGTTATAAATAGTTGCCCAATTAATATGGATCCCATGTAAACGCTTCACCTAACATCTTATATTTTTATTAATAGATATACGCACTACAGATAAGTACTTTCTTGATGGGATGTATTACGATAACTAGATTTCAATAAATTCTAATTCGGAGAAAAAATTTCGGCAACCACTCTACAAAGCATATCATATATATATTTGTTATTAAGAAACACATAATACTATTTGTGAAACTACCGCGTATAAGCCCACAGTGATGATTTAAAAAGTAAAAATACAAATAAATATTATTGCATATGTACTTACAGTTGTTTTCTCGAGGCATCGCAAGAGATGATGATGCTGCAGTTCAAATATGTCTTCATCGCGGTAGTTATCGTCCAACTCGATTCCAGACTCTTGTGCCGCCCAGCGAGCCTCCGCAGCTTTTTTCTTACTAACGAATGCAGCTCCAGATGAGGCCTTGGCAATTCGTATTCGAGCCAACCGTGCTTTCTGCAAATAAAGAGCGTAGAAAAACAAGAAAAATGGATAAAGAATATACTAATAATCGATATAAGTATGCCAAATATTTGTTGCCGAATCCAAAGCAATGTGCCGGTTTTTTATTCTCTTCAAAAACTAGCTCCAATAGTTTATAAAAAATGATGCCAGATCTGCATATACCTGACGTTTCTTGTGTATCGGAGGTATTTCTCCTTCTCTGCTTCCACCAGTGGGTACTTTCTAGGGTGAAATGCTCTCAGACGGTTATTGACTATGTCTATGTCGCCGCACAACTATTACAGATTATCGCCTTACATATTCCGTAAATCTTTTCTCTCGCAAGATTTTATAGCAAGTGGGGAGCGACCTAGTTGGTCCAGTATAATCGCGTGAGCGATGCCAATGATGAAGAAGAAAGTTTTGCAAAAATTTCTGCACAATGCAGTTAGACTGACATAACGTGCACAGGTGAACAAGCTTAGAAAACTTAAGAGGGAACGTAAGGTTCCGTCAGATGTAACAATTTTCACAAATTTTGAACAAGCAAATTTTTATCCTTTATTTGAAATTGAAAAACTTTTTACAAAATATTGTGAAGATTTATATCCTACGTGCGACTGCTCTTGAAATTAAGTTTAAAAGTTTGCTTCTTTGGCATAAATTTCGTGTTTTAATTAATTTCTACGTCTGACGGCACCATAGACTCCATGGGCAATATAAAATTTATAGTACTGTAGTAGTATTAAAATGTCGGTCTTATCCTTCTTTGGTGCAAGGCTGCATGCACCATTTACGCACTTTTCCTTGCACCACTTTGGTGCAAAGGGATTTTCTTACTTTTTCTCGTTCTCAAATTACGCACTTTTTCTTGCATCATTTTGGTGCAAATGAAAAAATTTTTTTTTGCGTTTCTTGTGCAACCGAAAATTTTTGATATGAAAATTTTTTTTGTACAAAAACGCAGACGTGCGTGCGTGTGCCCACTTTTTCTTCTTTTTCTTGCACCAAAATGGCAAAAGGTATTTTTTTTTGTACAAAAAATATATAAATACATCTCTTCAAATATCATTCTCATTTTTTTAAATTTTCATCGACAAACGGATATGCCGCAATGGTACTTAAATTTTAAGCTTAGTACTTTTATTTTAAAGGCTAAGAAGAAAAAAAAAGTATATAAATACACATTTTTCAAATATCATCCTTATTTTAAATTGTCATCGACAAAAGGATAAGACATAATGGAATTTAAAATTTTTTATATCGTTATATCTTCTTTTCCATCCTGCCTATGGGGCTCCATTTTGGGAAAAAGTAAAAAAAAGGGATTGCAATAAACCAAAACATTACCGAATAGTAATGATATGTTACGAATAAAAGTTTATTATTATTAGTGAAGTGAAAGTGAACCTCTTTTAACGCAGTATCACGAAATCATCATTTTCATCGGCCCCCATTGAAGAGATTACACAATCATCTTCATCTCCATCACCTACATTTGACTTTACAACTGAAGGGAATCCCATAAGAGTTTTTGCTATAGATGAAGCTATAGATGCATTTCGTAGAGAAATTATTGAAAAGGAATCTGATATTGGAGGTATCATTCATGCAAAGCATACATTTTATCGTCATTTCATATTGGAATATGATAATTTTAATATACCGATTCGTTGTACTTATGATAGTAGTTATATTAACAAACTGTTGAGCATCAAGTGCTTTGAATATCGTGAAATTGAACTGAACGAATTCTGAGTAATGGTCACAATGAAAAGGTTCTAATTCAGGACAAATCATATAACAGACCACATGTAGAAATAATTGATGTTAAAAACTATAAACAAACATATAATATGGTCATTGTATAACGTGTGTTACAGAGAAAAAAGATGAAATTGTCTAATTTAATTAAAATTTTACTTCTACACTTGTTGTATTTAAGTTATGGAACAAGCTACTACTACTACTATGATCAATTTATGAAACAAAATCAAAATATAAGCAACTTTAGAAATTTCAAAAATAGTAAACGGGCTAGTTTTGAATACAACATTCCAAACGCTTCTTTACGTTTAAAAATAAATGTAACAATCCGATTGATAGATAAAAGTCGTCCTGAGCTGAACCCAACAACAACAACGCAGAGTCCTTGGGGATATTTTAGAACAAATTACTCCGATCACAACGCTAAGGTAAATAGTGTAAAAAGAAGTGTATACACCATACTCGAAAGCGTCATTAGCAGCTTTTAAAAATGATTTAGTTAAAAAAAGAAAGTCTAGGGGTTTTCTATCGTAATTTCAATTTAGTTTACGATAATTGTGAAATTCGAATAAAATGCTCTTATTATAAAAATTACGACAAGCGTACTCTAAACATCTATTGCTTTGAATTTCCGGAAAACAATACGGAGAAAGTACTTAATCGAGAAGCATTATATGAGCGCACTTCATCCGATATAAGCCCACCAATAATTCATGTTAATCGTTATTCTCAATCATTACATATGAGGGTACAGTAATCGAAAAAATGTCATCGGTTGCTGTGGATATATTTATTTTTATTAAAAACTTTGGGCATTTTTTACCTGAAGGGCAGAAGAAAAGACTTTTAGATATTCATTCGAAAATCGAGTATAGAGATAAATTAGAAAAATAAAGAATCATTTCGGCGAACATTATGAAGACTGTGTTTGGTCGAATTCTAATTGCAGATCTGGTCCAGACACTTGCCTTTGCTCATTCCTAAAACGCCTGGACGAGGAAGCCTACATCATTTTAAGTACTTATACTAAAATTTATAATCAATTTCAATGTGAGCATAAATAAATCTTTAAATACTTCCTTTTTTTGAAAAATAAACAGAAAAAACAGAATTTTTATTTTATTTTTAAATAATCTTTTTAAAAACAATTGTTAATGGAATATTTTCATACATTTTATCACGGATAAGTATACAATAAGCAGTGGTCTTATCAGGGACGGTCTTATTGAATTCCAACTCAATCCGAATATCGATGGGTCCGCTTTTTATAGATTCATTTTGATGTGTTACATCTAAAACAATTATTGGAGCATTTTCAATAAATTGATTAGGCGATAAAAGTGGTTGTGGAGTGCGTCCATAATAACTTTGTTGAAATTTCAAATACATGTCATATAATAGAGCATAGCGATTTCCTTCAAATTTAATATTAAGATTATAATAGGGATATGTAGTGGAGTTAAGGTGAACTTTAACATCCAATAAGTCACAATGTATAAATTTCTTTTCATTTTGAAATCCTAAAAGAATATAGCGAGGTCTTTCATTATCACCAACCATTTTAACATTCCATAATAGACATATATACATATTCATAGAAATCCCAACTTCTAAACGAAATGTTTAGTGGTTGTTTACTATTAATTGTTCTCAACATAGTTAACCTATATGAGTCTGAAAGCTGAATATGTGGCACTTTCCATGTAATGTTTAAAAGTTTTAACGTAAGCTTTTCATTTGGTGTGGTTGTCTTCATAACATCATCATCTTCTTTTGCTCATATTAAAACTAATTCATGTTTAAAATTAACAATAATTTTGTGAAAATCTTCAGCAAATCCAAGCAGGTTTTTCAATGGTATACAATAATTGAAATGTCCAGTCTTTAAGTGATACATAATTTTTCATTTCTGTTGCAACACCCACCTTTCTAGTGCAATCAATTTCTATTCCATTTATTTCATATCGTATCTCCTCGAATAAATACGACACACAAATATTTAGCAGCTGCCCAGTTTTTAAAACTATTGACTCACTATTTAATATTAACCCCTCAATGTATAAAATACTTTCATTTGGTAGCACATATTGGTTTTGATTTTGTATGGGAATCCGAATTTCATCATTGTTTTGAAACGAATGTAAGTATGGTATGTAGCTATGATAATCCTTTTTTATTGTACTATTATCAAAAATGGGCTTGTACAAAACGTTTATTATATAACCCTTTTTTTCAAATGAAATCCCAGACTTATTAGAAACTCCTTATTCGATGGGGTTAAATGAATTTTATGTTGAATGATAGAATTTTCTTCTTTATGACGTAGATTTTTTATTTTTGTAACCAATACTTTTGGTGATGATTGAAAACTATTCATAAAGTCTGTATGTAGTGGTTTTTTAATAAAAATTATCATTGTTTTCGTTAGATAGGTTTTAAATGTTGTCTTATCGATATGGCTTCTCCACGAAAATTAACTAGGTTACCCGTTTGATCAACAACTTTAAGAACTAGAGTAAACATATAACATTGATAGGTATTTCTGTAATTTTATATCCTGGGCTAGCTCTAAGAGAAAACTGATGTATTGTATGCATAGATGTTTAGTTTATATTTGATCCATTGATGATATTACATTCAACGGATATTGTGTTTATTTTTGTTATACCCACTGGATTGTCAAAGTAATGAACAATCCCTGGCTCCAATATTCTTTTATTGAAACTTAGTAATGAACCAATGGAATATTTTTGATCAAAATTCACTCCTTCGAGATAGCTCATAATTTCGATTCTAAATGTATTAGGATTAGCTCTTATATTAATAAACCCTCTATTCAAAGGTTCACATGTGTGTTGGTAATATTCTCAACTATATCATCCAGCTCATAGTTTCCAACTGGTATCTCAAGAACACTCGAACCAATATGAAATTAATTGTTTTCTTCGTCTACATTTGGAATTATATTATATGAGTCAAAACTAATTAACCCACAAACATAATCTTGTTTGAGTTCTATGGGGGAAATAATTTGCAAGCAGTATAAATAAATTACCATTTATTGTTAATGTAATCGACATGTTGATAAGTTATCATTAAAAACTGGGCTGAAATAATTATCAAAACACTTTTTTATTTATAATACATATACATATAATTATTTTTTTTCTTTCTAAATTTATATCATTAACATTCACCCAGGAATTGTGTTCAGAAGAGAACCCTAACCATTTAACATAAGCTCT